ACACCGTTCATCTTCGACCGATAGGGAGATGAATTGTGATGTTGAATCTTGAACTGTTCGCACAAAGCGGTGATCATAGTATTGTTCAGGTTTGTACCGTTGTCCGTGATGATCCTGTCGGGGATACCATACCGGCAAATGAGGTTTTACTTGATGAAGCGAGAAACAACATTCTTTGTAACGGATGCGAAGGAAGCTGCTTCGACCCATTTGGTGAAGTAATCAATGGCTACCAGAATGAAGCGGTGTCCATTGGATGTTGTAGGCTTGATCTCTCCAATCATGTCGATTCCCCACATAGCAAAGGGCCAAGGAGCTGTTAAGATATTGAGAGGAACTGGAGGTATGTGTACCTTGTCCGTATAGACTTGACATTTGTGACAAGTCCTGGAGTACTGATGGCAGTCAGCTTCCGTGGTAGACCAGTAATAGCCTGCCCGTAGGATTTTCTTCGCCATCGTATGCCCGCTCGAATGGGTGCCAAAGGTGCCATCATGCAGTTCAGCCATGATTTGTTCAGCTTCTACCTTGTCTACACAACGGAGTAGAATGCAATCATGATTGCGCTTGTACAAGATACCATTGCTCAAGAAGAACTTAGCAGAAAATCTCCTCAAGAACTTTTTGTCGTTGACTAAAGCTCCTTCAGGGTATTCCTGAGCCTCGAGATACCTTTTGACTTCGTGAAACCAAGGTCGGTCCATTACTTCTTTGGTATTAATCTCGTGACAATGTGCATGTTCGTCCATCCGCTCAATGGTGATTTGGGGAGCCTCATTATCCCAGTTAAGTTTAAACATGGATGACATTGTAGCTAGAGCATCTGCTAGCTGATTTTCTTCTCACGGGAAGTGCTCGAAGGTGATCTGCTCGAAATGTGGTAGCAATGTCAAGACATGTTCTTTGTAAGGGATAAGATTGGGATGTTTAGTGTCCCACTCTCCTTTGATCTGACTGATGACCAAAGCTGAGTCTCCAAACACAACCAATGATTTGATTCCAAGGTTAATAGCAGCCTTGAGACCAAAGATGCAAGCTTCATACTCGGCCATGTTGTTTGTGCAATTAAAGCAAAGTCTGGCGGTGAAAGGGGTATGGCAACCTTCTGGTGAGATAAGCATAACACCGATATCGTTACCAAGTGCATTGGAGGCACCATCAAAGTACAGGGTCCATCGGGATCCTTGTTCAGGTCTGTCATACGGTCTGTTACCTTCACAGTTGTCCAAAGTCATGATGTCCTCGTCCGGGAACTCAAACTTCATCGATTGATAGTCTTCAACAGCTTGATGTACAAGATGATCAGCTAGAACGCTCCCCTTTATAGCTTTTTGGGTCGTGTACTGTATGTCATACTCGGTTAGAATCATTTGCCATCTAGCTATTCTTCCAAACAAGGCAGGCTTCTCGAAGATGTACTTGATCAGATCCATCTTAGAAATCAGCAAAGTGGTATGAGTCAACATATACTTCCTTAGCCGGCGAGCAGCCCATACCAAAGCGCAACAAGTTTTCTCGAGCAGTGAGTATCGGGTCTCACAGTCGGTAAACTTTTTGCTAAGGTAATAAATGGCATGCTCTTTTCGGCCAGACTCGTCATGTTGGCCCAGTACGCACCCCATTGAATTTTCTAGGACGATCAGATACATGATTAAAGGTCTTCCTTCAATGGGAGGCATCAAGACAGGAGGTTCTAGCAAATACTCCTTGATTCGGTCGAAAGCAATCTGGCATTCGTCGTTCCAGTTAACCACCTGATCCTTCTTCAACAACTTGAAGATTGGCTCACAGGTAGATGTTAGGTGAGAGATGAACCTAACAATGTAGTTTAGGCGTCCCAAGAAACCTCTGACCTCCTTCTCAGTGCGAGGAGCAGGCATTTCTCGTATAGCTTTGACTTTGGCAAGATCAACCTCTATGCCTTTGTTGTTGACAATGAAACCCAAGAGTTTACCAGACCTGACTCCGAAAGTGCACTTGTTAGGGTTCAGTCTGAGCTTGTACTCCTTTACCGGGCCCCTTGCGTTAAGAGCTGCCATGGACGGGTCGATGTTGGCCGGAATCGGAACCGGCTGGAGGACTGTTGGGAGCTCCTCGGTGAGTTTCTTGGATTTCTAATTCTCCAAGAATTGGATGTCATCGTCAGCTTCAACCGAGGAGGGGAACGCGGTTAGGCCATATCTTTTGACGGGAATATCCTCAAGGAAAGGAAACTTTCCATTATCCTCAGGCTTGCGGACAGGGGAAAGCACTATTTTTCCAAAAAGGTGACTCTCATTATGGTCGGCCATGATAGAAATCTTTGAATGTCGCTTTGATCTTTAGTTTTGAGGAAAAAAAGATGGGGATAACAAATTTCCCGCAGACGACGCCACTGATCTTACCGGTTGATCAGAACCTGAAAGTGGATCGAAAGGTGACGTCTTCTAGGTTGGAAATTTGAGGAGAGGATGGGGGATGTACCTGCAAGGCACTCCGAAGATTAAGTAAGAAATGGTGCAAAGAGATACAAGACTGAGATTAGGGTTTTTAAAATGAATATTAGATACCTGGTCCTCACAAGTGTGAGGGTTTATATAGTGTCCCCAACGCTTCTCCATTGGTCCCTATTTTTGAGCCTGGATCAGGTTCTCCAAAAATAGGTAACTGTCAGGAACTAGCCGTTGTATCGACCAGAGGTGCTTGTAACTAGTCGTTACAACGGACAAAGAAATGTCTCACAGGTAGGCATGATTTCTAGTCATTCCTGGGTGACTATCCTCGTACGGACGATACCCTGTTTGAGCGGGCAGGAATAACCGGGGAGACCCTGGTGGCTATGACTCCTCGGTTAACGAGCAGAAGGGATAAAATGTCATTTATCCTTCATGTTGTATTGGGTCAAAGTCATTGGGCTGTCCTACGTGCAAAAGTGGATTAGGCCATGCTTAGCCATTAGCCTAGTCCAGAATAATAGTATTTGATATCTTTAGAAATACATCTCCAAATTCACCTAAAAAAATGAAATTTCGTAACTTCGATAATACATCTCCGAAATTATTCCAGAAAAAAGTGAAATTTCGTAACTTCGAAAATATATCTTTGAAATCACCCCATAAAAAATAAACTTTGGTGCGTTGATAGATACATCTTCGAATTCTATAGGTAAAAACGGAATTTCGCCAAAGGTATCTAAGAAGATGTAAGGGTTGGAAAAGAAATTCACATACTTTATTTGTGCATGCAGGCCTTCTACTTTAGGCCCAATATAATTTACAAAGAAAGTCACTGGCCCATTGCAAATTTCGCTCTCATTGTCCCGTCATGTCATTCCGGAGGCAGTAAGATCATGGTTCAACCAACCAACGTTAGCTCATGTCCCGGTTGTTCTTCACATGCCGTCGTCGTTTCTCCGCCGCAACCGCTTCCGCCACCGCCAACCAACCACCAATTACTAACATTAACGACCCAGTTACATTCATAGCTACACTCTTGTGTAAAACCACTCATATACAACAATTGAACCAAATATACGCCCACATTCTCCAAACGCGCTTTTTGGAATCCAATCCCGCTTCTTTCAATTGGAACAACGTCATCAGGTCTTACACTAGGCTAGAAGCACCTCAAAACACGCTTCGTATCTATGTCTCGATGTCGCGAGCCGGGGTTTTACCCGACCGATATACACTTCCGATTGTTCTTAAGGCAGTGTGTCAATCTTTTGCAATTGAGCTTGGGAAACAGGTTCATTCGAATGGTATAAAGCTTGGGCTTCAGTCCAATGAGTATTGTGAAACTGGGTTTATAAACTTGTATTGTAAAGCTGGTGACTTTGATAGTGCGCGTAAGGTGTTTGATGAAAATCCTGACCCAAAGCTGGGTTCTTGGAATGGGATAATTGGTGGGTTATCACAAGGTGGACTTGCCATGGATGCTATACGTGTGTTTATTACTATGAGGAGGCATGGATTTGAGCCTGATGGGATTACCATGGTTAGTGTTATGTCGGCTTGTGGAAGTATTGGCGATTTGTACTTGGCACTGCAATTGCATAAATTTGTTTTTCAAGCTAAAGCTAGTGAGAAGACTGATATTTTAATGTTGAATTCGTTGATTGATATGTATGGAAAGTGTGGGCGGATGGACTTGGCTTATAAAGTTTTTGCAGAGATGGAGGGGCGGAATGTGTCGTCGTGGACATCGATGATCGTGGGTTATGCGATGCATGGACATGTAAAGGAGGCGCTTGATTGTTTTCAGTGTATGAGGGAATCGGGTGTGAAGCCTAATTATGTGACTTTTATTGGAGTGCTTAGCGCTTGTGTCCATGGAGGGACGGTTCAAGAAGGAAGATTTTACTTTGATATGATGAAGAATGTTTATGGCATAACACCCCAACTGCAACATTTTGGATGTATGGTGGATTTGCTGGGTCGAGCGGGATTGTTCAACGATGCGAGGAGAATGGTGGAGGAGATGCCTATGAAGCCGAATTCAGTAGTATGGGGGTGTTTGATGGGTGCTTGTGAGAAATATGGGAATGTGGATATGGCAGAGTGGGTAGCCGAGCATTTGCAAGCATTGGAACCTTTGAATGAAGGGGTTTATGTGGTTCTGTCGAATATCTATGCCAATAAAGGCTTATGGAAGGAAGTGGAGAGAATAAGATCCTTCATGAAAGAAGGAAATCTTGCCAAGGTTCCTGCCTATAGCATCACAACAAATTCAGATTGAAGATTCAACAATTATTTTAGCATTGGGATTTTACAATCAATTGTATCTGTGGTTTATGCATGTATCAAAATATGCATCCTTTGTTTACAGCTAGTGTTCTTTTAGAAAAGATCTGTTCTGTACCTTTAAATTCTGTGGAAAATTACATCATATATGTTCATGAATTATAGAAAAAATACATCCTCTAATCCAATCCCAGGACTTATACCTTCTTACAACTTTTTTCAATGATATCTGGCATCTATAACCTTTTGTTTATAACGACGATAAACATATTTACAATCTCATAACAAATCTCTCCACTTATTTCTTGATTGCAAATCCGAAGTATCAACATGAGTAGTACTTCCCATATTTATTTCTTCGCTGTGTTGTGTAGCATTCGTCGATCCTTCCAAATTCATTTTGACATCATTATCTTCTCCATTTGTGACATCATAAATATTGATCTTTTTAAGCCAATTTACTTTGCTAACAATTGAAATATTTTCTTCATTACTCTCGGCGGAACACCATTTTCATCATGAAAGCTTTGGATCTCATCTATTTCCTCCAATTTTACGCCAACATCTGCATCATTTGCCACCACATTTTTATGTATCTCGTTTCCCTCCTCTTTAATTTCGGTGTCTTCATTACAGTCGGGTGGAATACCATTTTCATCGTGATAGCTTTGAACCTCATATATTTCCTCCATTATTAAGCCAGCATTTGTAGCACTCGCCACCACATTTTTATGCATCTCGTTTCCCTCCTCTTTTATTTTGGCGTCTCCATTACTGTCGGGTGGAACACCATTTTCATCATGATAGCTTAGGACATCATCTATTTCCTCCATTATTACACCAGCATCCACGGCACTCGCCACCACATTTTTCTGGATTTCATTTCCTTTCTCCTTAATTCTGGTGTCCTCATCCTCGTTCATTTCCTTCAATGAAAATTCTGATTTAGCTTCTCCAACGGAATCAACCTTTCTTGACTCGGGAAGAGATCTTTCATCCAATCGCGTTGACATCCCTTTCCGTCCCAACAATTTAGCTCCATCACATCCTGCAACAACCTTGTTTTGACCACCATAATTCTTTGTTTCTGTCTGCTTGATCTGATACAGGAACCAAACAGAAAACACTAAAACTAGTATCAACTTCAATACCTGTTTTATGTTACACCCTTTTGGTTTTTGGTACCTTCCAAAAGATTGATCCTCCATTCTTCTGCATCAATTCAACATCATCTAAATATCAAACTAATACTGTAAGGATTCCAAACACATATCAAGTGATCATTTTAACATGTTTTTTTTTTTTACAATTTCAACAAGAACAAGAAACTAGAATATTCCAACCAACTATATATACATTAATGAATTAATAATTAGATAAAAACAAAACAAGCCCAACAAACCAAACGTATATACCAATCATCAAATCAAAATCAATAGACATATATGAAGAAAAAACAAAACTCCAAGAAACGAGTGTGGCCATGATGATTGATGGGAAATTGAAAAATAAAAAATTAACTGAAAGAGAGAAAAAATAAAGAGCAAGAAGTGGATTCTTAAGGAGCAAGTTTACCTTTTGTCTCTTCTCTTGTTCTTGCTTTTTCAGTGTTCTCTCTTGATTATGTTTGGTCTTTTGTGGTTTTAGATTATTCTTTGGACCAAAATCATGATACAAATTTCATAGTTTGAAAGTTCAGGAGGGTCGTTGAAGTTTCCAATGTAGCGGTTTTTTCTTGATTGACTTAGCTTTTTTTGTTTTCATTCTCCGCAACCGTTTGATTTGATGCACATAATAAAATATACAGTGATAAAAAGTTGAATAAAAAGTTCGAAAAATATGATAACGTTATATTTTTAATACATACTTAATATGATATGATAGGATAACTATAATTATAGTATATACATATACAATATACGTATATAAATAAATAAATGATATTATAGACAAACAGAAAAATTATATTTAATTTATCAAAATTTTAAAGTAATTTTTTTTTTACATTTTTAGTTATAATTTTATTTTTAAATATTTTACGACAACAACAATCAATCATGATCGTGATCGGCGATATTATCAACTTTAACTATAATATTTTATTAGGATTACAGTTCTATTTATATCGGTAATTTTGAAATCCTTCTTAAAGATTAATAACATTATTTCTGTTTTTTTTTCTCTATAAAATATTTTTTTTAAATCAAATTAAATTATTTTTTTTTTAAAAACTAACCTTACCATTTAATTTTTGTTGTTGTTTTAGACCTGATAGGAATTTGATTGAATTATTTTAATTCTACGTGGTTTATTTTTGTTTTTTTTCTCTTAACTTTAAAACAAAAGGGTGAAAATATCGAATTATTGTTTATAATGAGAATTAAATCCATCAACTATCTCATAATTTAAGTGCCTTACAATTGCGAAAAATTAATTATTTCATTAAAGATTTGATTTTCATTAAATCATATATTACATAATTATATAAAATTATTTAATTTACAGATAAATATTATTTTAAAATAAAGTATTTTAAAGTTAATTAGTTTAATAATAAATTATGAAAATTGTATATATTATATTTTCAAAAACTATAAATTATCAAAAAATTATATAAATTATGAAAAATTATATATTATAGTTATTCTATTTTTTAAAATATTTTAATCTTTTTAATTTATTATTAAATGTGTTTAAATATGAGTATTTGTTATTCAAAAAATAAAGAATTATATTAATATAGAGAAATGAACAAAATATGTGTTTGTATGTATTCCATATATAATTTTTTATTTAATATAAATTTAATACATTATTAAATACATAATTTAAGTTTTAATACATAAATTTATAAATATATTATTCAAAATATGTTGAATATATTATTCAAAATATTTATATTATTAAACATATATTTAAACATATTCAACATATTAATTTTGGTTTATTATTAAAAATTAATTATTTAATAAAATTTTATATAGTTTTATGCAATTTTGATAATTTATAATATTTAATATATACAATTTTATTATAATAATTTTAGTCTCATGGAATTTTGATAATTTATAATTTTTTATATATACAATTTTATTATAATAATTTTAGTTTCATGGAATTTTGATAATTTATAATTTTTACATATACAGTTTTATTATAATAATTTTAGTCTCATGAAATTTTGATAATTTATAATTTTTCATATATACAGTTTTATTATAATAATTTTAGTCTCATAGAATTTAGATGATTTATAATTTTTGAAAATATAATACGTAGTTTTAATAATTTATTATTAAATTAATTAACTTAAAATAATTTATTTTAAAATAATATTTATCTATTTATTAAAATAATTTTACATATATATATAATATATATATATATATATATATATATATATATATATATATATATATATATATATATATATATATATATATATATATATATATATATATATATATATATATATATAATATATATATATATATATAATATATATATCACTACAAGAAATATCCTCTCCAGCGAAATAAATTTAGTGACGTGATTATCATGTCACTAAATTTTAACAGTTGCGACGTGATAATCACGTCAGTACAATATTTTATAAATTAAATAATAAAAGTAATGTATAGACTACGTCAGTCTGATTTATTTTTATTTATAAAAGTTGCGACGTGGAAAACACCTCACAACATAAAAAATTTGAATAAAATAATGTTAAAGCTGCCGGCGTTAGGGAAGTTTTAATAATTTTAAAAAAAAATGCTGTGACGTGTTAAACACGTCACAATTTACTTTGAGGGAACTTTGACAATATGTGGTACTGATCCATTCTGAATGTGCAGATTAAGATTTAAAAAAAATAACTGTTGGAGAAGTTGCGACATGAATATCACGTGGCAAGGTTGCGGACGTGATATTCACGTCGTTGATTTGTTTATTTTAAA